TAAAATATATGTTTATCAAATAAGGTCTAATTTTACATTTAATCATGGATCCCTTTAAGCAGAATAAAAGAATAAAATGTTTTTATTGCAAAAGACTGAGTCTTTGCAGATGGTTGAAACTAGTGAAAATGTTTATTTGATGCTAAGATCGTTTCAACATTTACAACAACATGGCCTGCAGAAGAGTGATGTATTCAGATATTTACAAACTACACATTTCTTTTACATAGATCCTACATCAGCCAGCCTTAACAGTGTCTACCAAGCAGCAGTTTTTGAAATGTCAGGTGTTTAAATAAACATAATGGAGTTTTCTATGTAACTGCAGCCACTAAACCAGCCTTGGAGAGAAATCTAATGAGCAACACAAGTTTGTGCAAGAAGTAGTGGCGGCCAAATGATGCCTTTCTGGAGCACTGAGTCATATTTTTTAAAAAGGTTTTGTTTTTTACATGAAGCTTTTCAACGGACCTCTTTGGCGACATCTTGTGGTCTAACATGTAAACAGCAGCTTGAAGCCACTTTGCTTGTGACTTGTTGACATTTATAAACATAACAGATTTTAAAAATCAGGAGCCTGTTTTGCAGTGTTGCTTACGTTTGTCCTGTTACCGAAGGCAGCGTAGAAAGGTTGTCTGTGTGGGTTGAACAAGTCTCTGATGTCACTGAGACAAGCGATCTTAAAAATCTCTGGTTTCTTCTCGATCACCTCCCTGTGAACAGATAAGGAGAGTTTATTGTCTCAAATTAAAGCTATTACCAGATACTACAGATGCACAAAATAATCTGTGATTTGCTGGTCAAACACTCAAAAATCCAATATTTATTTACAATAAGTTTATACATCATAGCTAATTGTACAGCACCACTCAACACAAACATTTTTATTGAGTGGAGAGAACTTGAAGTTGGCTGTATCTACTATCTGTAACATCCTAAAAAATAAAGTCAGACATACCGTATTTTCCGAACTATAAGTCACACTTTTTTTCATAGTTTAGCAGGTCCTGTGACTTAAATTCTGAAGCAACTTATCTATGTTTTTTTCCACTTCATGATGCATTTTTTCACTGACACGTTTAGTTCGTGCTAACTGACATGAACCAAGGAGAGCACGTTAAAGTCTGCAGCCATGAGAGGTCGCTCTAGGCTMTTGACAACTACCTTTTATGTTGTTCTTGTGATCTACCAGGTAAAACAAAAAATGAGGAGCAGAAAGAAAGTTTGGAGTGAATAGAAAAACTTGTTCGGGACTGGAAAAAAGCAGAGGTTACTAATTACTGCACTGAAGAAAATGAAGAAGCGGCGGCTGTGGTGTAATGGTAGAGCAGCCGACTTGGGACCTGAAAGTCACAGGTGCGACTTCCCGCCATGCCCACGTCATGGTGTCCTTGACATACATAGTCCTTACATAGCTGCCCGCTGCTCCACTTGGGTGTTTCTCACGTGTGATGGGTCAAATGCAGAGCACAAATTTCATCATTGTGTGGGAACATACACTGATGACCAATAAAGTACCTTTAAAGAAAGCTAATCATGTAATGTGGAATGAGATTGGTGTTGGACTTCATTGGGCCAACTGGTTGTGTTTACACCAAGCACAGAGAGAAACCTCGCTAAAGACGCAGACGGGATCAAAATATTTTAAATGCGTGAAACCTTTTTTATTTTATTTGTGGCACAATAATAATGGACTACACCAAACTCAAAGGAAAAAGTACCYAAGACTGTACTGGACCATCCAGCAGTATGACAGTATGATGAGAGGGTAGGACGATGGAGGACGCTAAGCTAATGTTAGCTTGTTGTTGWTGGTATTGTAAATTGATTTTTGGTATCTTGCTGCAGAWGTTTAGTTGAACACAGATAAAAAAAAACATGTTACAGTTGTTTCAAACAATTCATGTAGTTACTCTCATCTGTATCATCAGTCCGTGTTAAGGCTACTCAGCATCCCAAGCAGGACCTTTGTTTGTGTGTTATTCCAGATTAAATGGCTGCGACTTCTGCTCATTTGCGACTTGTGGTTTTTTTTTCCTCTTCATGACACATTTTTTGACTGATGCGACTTTTACTCTGAAGATCAAAAAGAAAAAAAKTAAGTAGGTCCTCTGGATGGGTCCTTCTTTAGTGAAACGTTTCGTCTCTCCTCCAAGAGACTTCTTCAGTCTGATGAGTTTCAGGTGAAACTCAGCCTTATAAGCACTGCCTCCACCTGGACAAACAGGTTAGTCACATGCAAAATAGGGCCATCGCCTAACAATAGGCTTMATTAGCTCTATTGTTCATAGAGGGTCATGTGCACCATCACCTGACTTATTGGTTTGGATGCTTCGGCTGTGGCTATTTGGTGTCGTGTTACGTGCACGRAGTGAGTGCAAGCGGGGTTCAATGTCCCCTTGTTTTTGTCTCTCTTTCCCTATGTGTTTGGTATCGTTAGGACCCTGATTCACACCTTTTGCTCACAGGGGGCTGAGTCATACTTGCAATAACAGCATTGTAGGAGGAGGACAATCAAGCCTATTGTTGGGCGATGGCCCTCTTTTGCATGTGACTAACCTGTTTMTCCATGTGGYGGCAGTGCTTATAAGGCTGAGTTCACCTGAAACTCATCAGACTGAAGAAGTCTCTTGGAGGAGAGACYAAACGTTTCCCTAAAGAAGAACCCATCCAGAGGACCTACTTATTTTTTTCTTTTTGATTTTTTCTACCTGGATTACTGAGATGRATCAGGACATATACTCTGAAGAGATTATTAGTCCAGAAAACATGGTATTATTGAGAGGTTAGGAACTCAGACATTTACCACTAAGCACATAGTTTACAGCAGACCAAGATTCCATTTTAGTGGAAGTAATAAAAAGTTTTGAGCAAACTTTTAATTCAAAGTGTATGCAGCTTTCTCCTGTACTGATTAGGACTTCAGGAAGGATTCACAGAGGTTTCCTATCAGACTGAAAGCAGCTCAGAGGGTGTCTGTGTTACCTGTGTAGTGCTGAAAACAGGCTGCTGGGTGCCAGTAGGACGGGGCCTTTGGGAAGGACGATACCTTGGTCATTGACCCACTGTAAGTAACCTTTAGTGATGGCAGCCATACCTATAGCTCTCGCTGAACAATACAGGAACTTGTAACCATTCCTGCAGGGAGACAAACATCATAACGACTCGGATTAATGAAAAATCTCTTCAGCTTTGAAAATGTTGTTCACCTGGCACAAAGTGCTCCTTACAGCTCCTGAACAATTTGATTAYTACTTTKAAGACAACATACCGATTTCTAAAGACTCACGTTAAAAGGACTGGGAACAGAAAACCACAGGACGATGCAGATTAAACAGTCAGGTGAAATTAAAGGAACATTCAAATTAAAAATATTAACAGGATGGACATAATTATATCTGCTCAGAGTGAGAAGAGGCCTTAAAATAAAAAACTAAATGATTCAACAGGGTTTTTTTCTGCTCACACTTTTTTAAAGGCACCTGAAATTAAATTATTTTTGATTGAATTTATTTATTTGAGAAAAAGGGGCAGATATAATACGATTTTATCTTCTTCTGCTACCTTTCATTTAATTTATGATTTGTATTTTTGTTGTATGTTGAATTTATGTTGTTGTTTTTTAAAGAAATGAATAAACTAACTAACCTAAACTAACTTAATTTTAATTCTTCAATTCTTTCTCAACTCAGAAAGCTCCTCAGACAGGTGTCAAAAGATCTTAAAAAAGTAATAAAAAAGACAAGAAGTCTGGTTTCTCGTTTCAGTCCCTCTTGTTTTGTTTTGAAGTGATCCTATTCTGGTAAATTGAAAACAATACTGCAGTGTAACATACTGGTGTATTTTGTGGTACAGTTTGGCAATTCCTTTGTGCGTCCAGTCTTTTCCAAACTGAGGTAAAATATGACCCAAAGCATCAGATCTGCAGGAAACAGAGAATAAAAAACTACTGAAAACAATAACTGATTCATGTATAAAAAGGTAAAAATGGCAAAAATACAAACAGCAGGTAAAGACTCCAAGAACTTAGAAGGAATGTCAAATGATACAGAATTGACAGTTTATCTATATCTAAATATTGTTTTATAAAAGAAGATGTTTTACTTGGTGATGGTGCCATCGATGTCCGATATGATGACGCGATCGTCCCAGTTCCACAGATAGATGGCAGCCTCGCAGCGGCAGGTCCCCTGGTACTGTGTGGTCACACTAAACACCACTTTATTGGCTCCGTCACGCAGATTTAGATTCTCCTGTTGAAAGCAGAAAACAGTTCACATCTCTGCACAAACTGATAAACATCTTTAAAAAAATTAATTCGTTGGAGGGGAGATTTTTAAGATGGTCTGTTACTATCTGTTTAGAAGTCAGCCGTAGTGATTTGCGATACATCTGGCTGATGGTCTGAGTGGCATTAATGGTTTCTGTGGAAAGGCTGTGAGGAATGACAGCTTTTCTGCCGAGACCCGCGACCTCATCGCTGTCGACATCATCCAGAGTGGCTCTGAGGAAACAACAAAATATACTYATATTGTCACAGATATAACTTAATTATACAGAAACAAGAGTCAAATCATGACCAGAGATATTCTCTAAGTCAGGGATAGCCAACTGGTGGCCTGAGGGCCATGTCTGGCCTGCCAATGAGCTTTTTTTTAATCTAAAAAAAAGCTCTCAAAGCAGCTCTTATGTTAWTTTTTTTTAAATTACAAAAATGTACTGTAAGTGTTTCAGCGGCACTGAATTGATTGTAATCGCAAAATTTGCCACTAGATGGTGCCTCCAATGCAGACGCCACACATCTTCTCTACCAGTGAGAAAGATARGTTTAGAAAGAATCCTGGGCAGATAAAATTATGTTTCAGGTGAGATGGGAGGAAGAATATCTGGACACAGAATTTCAAGGCAAACCTGTGCTTGGTCTGATTAGAGACGCTGTCTGTCATGAAGACTTTAATATAAATCACTACTACATGTTGCACAAAGCTAAATATGAGAAGTTTACTGAAGTCACAAATACATAAACAGCAGCAACTTTTTTACCAGAACCACACAGGAGTGTCTACTCAAGGTGTTTATGCTGTTGCACTCCAGCTCACTAAAGTGTTTATTTTTTGTTTGCTTCAAACTTTTCATATTTATATTTATTAAACAAGAGTACAACTGTTATACATGCATTTGAGCATGTCATGTAAAATTACTGCACTGTCAGTGGCAGATCTAGAAAATTTTCCATAGGGGGGCAAAAGCTCTAGGCAGGATGGCAATGCAGGATCACTGCACTGAAGTACTGTACATAAGACATTTCCTATATCTAAATAGTCAACAATACATCCATAAAAACACTTTGAAACACTATTTATTGTCCTTTTCTCTTCTAAGAAACAAAGATAACTTTCAGTTACATACACACACACACACACACACACACACACACACACACACACACACACACAC